TTGCTCCTAGTAGTAAGGCCAAGAGCCGCCTCCTTGCTCCTAGTAGCGTCCTTGCTCCTAGTAGCGATGCCAGGAGCCCCTAGTAGCGTCCTTGCTCCTAGTAGCGAAGCCAGGAGCCCCTAGTAGCTTCTTGCTCCTAGTAGTAAGGCAAAGAAGAGCCCCTAGTAGCTTCTTTTCTTAAGTCTTTCGATTTCTAATCGTTTCACAATGATCCTTGGCAAGACTTGATCCCTTCACGCATTTCCCCGCGAAAAAGTGCTTCGACTTTTTGCGCCTGCAAACGCTTGCGATGAGCTCGCTGTGGATCCAAATCTCCGGCAGCCGGATCCAATGCCTGGTGAGAGAAACCGCGAAAACGCAGTGAAACCCGGTAGTCTCGTGGCAAATGACGGAAATCGATTTGGTGAGTCTTGGCTTTGAAATGAGGAAGATAAGGCAGGGGGAAGTTTCCGATCAAAATGGTCAAACTGAGATAGTGTTGTCTCTGTCTCTTCATTCAGTCACACCTTTACTAAACAGCCATGAGTCCAGTTGTACATACATGGACATATCGCATTGAGCCAAGCCTAAGTCATCACAGTGCAACTCCCGAATTCCTTTGTGAACTCAGCTATTGGCACGGCTATCTAAGCTTTCCCCCAGGATTGTGGAAACAATGCCTTCGAATGACAAGTACTATGTAGTTGGCAATGGCATTTCTTGGGCTGAACACTTCCCAGTAACTTTGATCACGTTTCTTCAAGGAAGGATCGCTCGCACTTATCATTTGGTTCCTAGATTGTTTTGGAAACTTAACTTGTGAAATCAATCACCATCACTGAGGGTATGGTGAAGTGCTCTGTGTGGTTTTGGGGAGACAATTAAATGACCAGGATGAAGAGCTATCCTGCGTCCTGTCGGAAGTAGTTACTTAAGCTACAGCTACTGTTTGCTTCTACTTACGAGCTGCCTAGTTACCTACCTCTTCTCGGCCTTCGCGCCCGGCCCCAAAAAGGTCCTGGTGAAATTGATCCCACTGGAGCTCCAAGTGGGGCGCTCTGTGAAGTTGGGCGCTCTGCTCCTCCACAAGCTCGTGGACCTCCCGCTCGGAATGGCCGATGGCTGACCGAGTGGCGTCAGATCCACACGGATCCACATCACATGACATTCACAAGGGCGCTTCTAGTAGCAAGGACGCTACTAGGGGCTCCTGGCATCGCTACTAGGAGCAAGCAGCTACTAGTAGCTCCTGGCATCGCTACTAAGGACAAGGACGCTACTAGTAACAAAGGGCATCGCTTCTAGTAGCAAGAAAATAGAAGGTCGCCTTACGGAAATCAAAGCCTCGCTGCTTCACTCGTGGAACGTGAAGTGGTGAGTGGAGTTTTCTTCCTCAGGGGCAAGACCTCTGGCGCACTGCGCATGACCGGACATAAGTGGACAGAATCTTTCCTTGGAGAGCGTTAATGACGTGGGTTCAGCAGTTCAGTTTGGACCTCTTGAAAAGGATGATATTTTTATTAGTTTGTCCAGTTTCCTTGCAGCGTTTGTGTTGGCTCTGACCTTGTGGATCTGCAGCATTCATTTGAGTGTGCAGTCATGCCGGTCATTCTATTCCATTGTCCTTTGCTGAGATCTCGACCCTGTTTTTGTTGCGGCAGTGACCATTGTTCTTAGGCATTTTAGTGTTCATCCTGACATGACAAGCCTGGCCCGACTACATGTGGGAGTTGTTCGCTTTTTTCCTGAGATCCCTAGTGTCGTTTCGATTGCTCGTCTCCAACACTTCAAACTCGTGGGCAGCGAGATATGATCTTGCCCGTGCGAGCCTGACGTCCCTTCTTTGTGCCGCTAGCCCATTTGTTCGCTACTAGGGGCTCCTGGCATCGCTACTAGGAACAAAAAGCTACTAGGAACAAGTGCCTTACTAGTAGTAACAAGAAGCTACTAGGGGCTCCTGGCCGTACTACTAGGAGCAAGAAAGCTACTAGTAACAAAGGGCATCGCTTCTAGTAGCAAGGACGCTACTAGGGGCTCCATCGGATGGTCTACGCTCGCTTCCCGCAACGGCGCCTCGGCCCAGGCGCGCTCCAGCGCCACTTGCCGCTGCTCGGAGCGGCGGCGGAAGCCATAGCGACCCGGGATGGAGGCATTCATGCGATGGGCGATGCGGAGGTCATCCGAAGATATCAAAAATCGAGACTCTGGCTAAA